AGAACAGATTAACTCACCTCTCCAGCTGCAGACCAACAAAAAAGCTAACAAGCTCAAAGTTTTCTCTCTCACTCAAGGTAATAAAGACGCGAGTGTAGGGTCTGGTCACAGAGGGTGGGACGTGTCCTTTCCACAGGGCTAAGAAAAAGCTGGCGCCATGTTTCATGGAGGCCCCTGGAAAGGGCTCTCATGGGCCAAGGCTATTCTGGGAGCTGGGACTACCCCACGCACCCATGGCCGCCCCACACCCACGGCCACGTCCACCACGGAGCACGATACGCATCTAGGGAGCAGGGACGTCTCTTTTCTCTGGGCGACCCCTCGGTGCTGTCTGCCATGCTCGTGACAGTGCACCTCATGCATTTTGGCACCACCACCTAAGTTCACAGCCTGGGCCCGGGCAGGTGCTTATTAATAACCTTTTGTTGACACATGTCCCAAGAGGATTTCAAGCTACCTTGTGAGGGGTAAGAGTTACTGAAACCTGTAATGGCCCAGCTAATAAACACCCCAGTTTAGGGGAGAGTAATCACCCGATTGCTTTCCTATGATTACTATGTATTTTCATTGCCAAAAGATGCAATACAATTTCATGGTTACTTGGCCCTGTAAAATAGAAATACCCCCACATTTTAAGATATGAAAAGGTTTATATCCAGGATACTGTCAGTTCAAGAATGAGCCCATGGTACAAATGAGTCAATTCATGACAAAATTTAATTTCAGGAAAATTAACTCAATAAAGATGCCACAATTGTACTTAAAGTTTTACTACCTATTAGGAGTTGTAGGGAGCTGGTGCAGAACCAAGGGCAAGCTGATCCATTTCCTGGCTCCTCAAAATGCGATTGACTTAATACTTAATTTATTCATAATGGGGACAGTATTACAAGAAACTCCGTGTTTAATGAGGGGGGCCTGGGTCTTGAAAGCCTAACCAATCACAAAAATGGAGAGTGTTCAGAGTCTACGGGACATTAAGTTTTGTTTCCTGTAACACTACAGAGAGCGCTCACGGCACCGGACTGACGGCCCCTTTAACCAAGTAGCCCACGGTGAGGCTTCACGCCCCCACACGTGGTACTGGCCAGAAATTCTGTAGCTGCCAGGTACCCAGAAAACCAAACCAAAGTGGGGGGTTTGAATGACAATTTATTGACTAGCAATAATTTCTGTAGTGAACATCACTAGACTGTACAAGCTGCAAAAAAAGAAAAGTCAAAACACAGGACATCAGAGCCACAAAACACCCACACCCACTGTGGGGCACACTGACCAGCAGCCAGCCTCAGAAACAAAGCTGTGGGCTATTGTTCTAGATGACTCATATGAAAACAAGCTCAGAATAAGAGACCTGTGGGCGTGGAGGCCCAGCAGGCACCCTGTCCTCTGGAAGAATGCATCTAGGCAGCCGTCCTGCGGGAAGGGGCTGACCAGAGACCCCCAGGCCCTCCCTGGAGGTCCCCAGGCCTTCCACGGACATCCAGGGGCAAGGCTCTGATGCTGGGGCCCAATCCAGTGCCTGGCCCTTTGCTGCCTCACAGCAAGGCCCGCTGCCCTGGAGCTCCCCCAACCCGCTTCCCAGAGCCCTGCGTGCAGCCCAGCAAGGGCCGCGCTCACTGCGGTAAAAAGGCTGCCTCTTGGGTGTAAGGATGAAAACCAGCCGTATGCCTCCGTCTCCCGCACTCTGTAGAGATTTGATTCCTAATCCCACATAATGGCACCTGCTATTTGCAACTGATGATGAAAGGCCGGCACTAAACCCCCACAGCACGGCCTCAGCTTCAGCAAACATCTCGAACAAAATGAAAAGGTGCGAGAATAAGTAATGGGACACTCAAGGGAACAAAGGTGGCTTGTTCCAGAAAACTCAATCTCCTGAAGAAATGAATTTCATCAAAATAGGTGGAGAGTAGAAAATTTCCTATTGCACTGGAACTATCTGTGATTTTTAAAAAATCTTTATTAAAAGTAACTCAAAACATAGACAATGTGTGAGTCCTGAGTGTGAATGTTTTTGGCAGAAGCAGCTCAAGCTCGCGGCAGTTGCGAGCATGACTCACCACGCTCCCAGGACACTGCTCAAGATGCAAATTGCCACCTAGCACTGGGGACACTACCACCACGGTCGGAATGGAATTCAGCTACAAGTACGACAATATAAAGTTCTTTTCCCTGTTTCACATCTAGTCAGATGACAAGAATGCCAGAAATGCACTTTTGAAAGACCAAGTTTCAATGGAGAAGATGCTCTGAGGCAAAATCAAACGCAGCACACAGACCCAGGGCAGAGCATGACAGGACACGGCCCCGGCGCCCGGCTCCGCGAGGGAGAGCTCACCTGGTAGGTGTCCCACAGACGGATGGTGCAGCGGAGGGGCACCTCCCGCATCAGCAGGTTGTTCATCCAGCGGAAGGCAAACTGCAGGTACCTCACCTCGTGCTGGTCCAGGTGCCGATGGACTTGCTCTGCACAAAACAAACACAGGCCCCGAGGCCATGAGTGGAGCCCTCTGGAGGCCCCCGACAGCCAGGTCCTCTGTGCCTGCCGCAGAGCCCCACGCCAACAGCACATCCCCCAACGACCTAAGAACTAATTCTATGAGTGAAAAACTTTACAGTCGGCTGTTCTTTAAGAAAAGCAAATGACGGTGCTGACGGTGAGGACCGCAACAGCCACAACAGCGCCCGGGTGCTTCGTGCCTCCACGTGTGGTGCTTGACAGCCCGCAGCCCCAGGCGATGAGCGGGGCTGCCCCGTCTCACAGACGGAGCGTGCAGGGTGCGGGCAGCCCAGACCAACACCACGCCCGAGTGGCTCCACAGACGCGCACTCTCCCCCTGCTCCAGGGCAGGTCTGCAGGCGCAGGCTGGGGTCCTGCGAGGGGCTTCGAGAGCAGATGAGCTTGCCCGCTGGCCACGAATGACGCAACCCCACCCAGGGAAAATGTTCCACTTGCACCTGCACCCAACTGTTGAGTGGGCAAGTGAGACATGTCCCCAGGCCAGGGGCCAGGTGGCCTCTGGATTCCACGTTTGGGGCATCCGAAGAGGCCAGGCATTACTGAGTGTCATTCCCAAAGCACAAGCTCGCCTCGGCCACGTGCTCTTGCCTTCTCGTCAAACCGCGGTGGGCAAAAAGTCAACAGCCTTGGTTTTAGATCCTGCACTGCTGCCTCCCAGCCCTCTGTGGAGCTGGTACCACCTGCGGAGACAGGCATCGATCGCCCTCTCAGAAGCTTCAAGGTCTACAGGCTCCTGGACCCATCGCCCCAGGAAGCAGAGTTCTGGCAATCCTGGTGACCTCACTCCTGTTGTCAGGCATTCCGCCCACTCTGGGGTTCCCCTCTGAAGGGCCTGGGAAAGCTGGGAGCCACTATATAAAAACAAGTAATTATCGCCTAATTGCCCCAGATTGTGAACTAGATGTTTCTACTCAGGGCCCACCCGAGGCTTGCTGGGAGCCCTCCTGCCACACGCCTCTTCCCTCGCCCCACTTCCCCAAGCACCTCCTCTCCACTCACCTGCCCCGCCCTGCCCTGAGAGGTGACCCTGAGAAAACTTCACGGGTTCCCCATTCTTCCAAAGAAAGTTCTAGGACTGGCGCATAAACAAATGTAAGGGAGAAGCTAGTGTTGTGCTCACTGGTTTGTTTTCACTCAAGTCCCTGATTAATTTGCAATGTTTCAGAAACAAGCAAACAGCGGGGATGGGGGGTCCGTCCTGCCACGGTCCGGCAACTTACTGGCGGAGCATGCGAGAGCCTGGCGGGCTTCAGGCTGTGAGACCGGGAGCCGCTTTCGCCAGAGACAGGAGGCTCTGCTGGGCTGACCCTACAAAAGCGCAGACAGCTCTGGTCCCCATGCTGGGCCCTGCCGTGAAGGGAGTCGGTCCCTTAACTGTCTCTGCCCTCACTGTGGCCCTCCTTCCCAAACCACCATCCTCAGCTAACCAGAACAAACACGCTAAGCAGGATTCCTGCGGGACCCAGTGTGGGGACACATTGGGAATGAGGCCCTGGTGTGTGCCATGAAGCAGATGCAGCACAATAAGCTCAACTACAACGAGACGTGCGTCAGTGCTGACCTGGGCCGAGCAGAACAGCGGAGGCTCCCTGGGCATCCTGGGAGCAAGGCGCCAGGGAGGCGGGGCTGCCTTGCTGGGGCCCCACGGGAAACTCTCCAGAAGGCTTCCCAGACCAGGCAGCAGGTGGGACCCCGGAGGCCCCCACACACCCACCATTTCGTGCTGCCTCCACTGGAACAGACTTGGGACCGAGGGTTCTGGGCCTGGCGGAGGGCGGCCCCAGGAAGCAGGCGGGATGGAGGGCCTAGGCGGCGGAGCAGCCTGCCGGGGCTCGCCAGCCAGCATCCGCCCGCCCCAGGTACTCAGCTAGTACAGACAGGGGTGTTCCTTCGGGTGCTGTGAAGAGCTCCGGCACACACCCAAACACGACCAGCAGACGCCCACATTCCCACATCGGCAAATCCCATCTGCCCCCGCCCCACCCGAGAAAGCTTCCGGAGTAGAACGTTTTGGTGAGGAAGTGGCTGGAAACGCTGGTGCTTGGTGTGAGTCGGGGAATCTCATGGCCTCAGTCCCAGCATCATGGAAGCAAGCAGGGCCACGTGAGGGCAGTAAGGACAGGTGGCCCTGATTTATGGAAAATGTCATTTTTATATTAAAACCAAAACAAATATGTACTGTGGCATCAAGTCAACTGTCGTCATAAGTTTCTAGGATAAAACCTAAGAGTACGATGAATCTCATCTTCACGCTGGGCCCCTCTGAGCTCCACGGCCCAGAGCGCCCAGCACGAAGGCTGTGGTCCTCTCCCGCCTTGGAGCCAGAGACACTGCAGCGCCAGAGACAGCGGGCCTGACGCCAGCGCAGCAGACCTTGGCAGTGACCTCACAGCTCCCCACAGGCTGGCCTGCGCCATCCTCATCTTCATCCCTGTCATAATCTTCATCATCATCCTCTGCCTCCCTTTCCTCATCACCATCATCTTTATCATCCTCCCCATACTCTTTCTCCTCCTGCTCTTGGTCATTATTACCATCATCATCTTCATCCTCATCTTCCTCATCCTCCTCCTCCTTTACCTCCCGTCATAATCTTGATCTTCTTCCTCTCCCTCATCTTCCTCATTATTCTTCTCCTTATCATTATCACCATCATCTTTATCCTCCTTTCTCCTTAACATTCTCCCCCTCTTCACCCTCCTCTTCCTCCTTTTTCACCTTCCTCATCCTCATCCTCATCATCACCATTATCTTCGTCTTCCTCCTCATCATCATCTTCCTCCTCCTCCTCCTCCTCCTCCTCCTCCTCATCTCCACAGCTGTTAAAACACAGACTCCCATCATGACTTTCTCGATGAGAATCTCGGCAGGGGACTGAAAAATTCCTCCGGAAGATCCTTCCATGCCAGCCATGCCCCGCGCTGGTAACTCCTCTCAGGCAGTCTCACGGGGACACAGGCCCACACAGGCTGGCAGGGACGTAGGGAGGACAGGCTCAGGCTCCCGCACAGGACGTCTGCACCCAGGAAAGGGCTCACGTGTGTGACCAGAGGCAGTGCCGGCATGTCATTTACTTAACAGCTTTCTTCTCATCAACTTATGCCTGATTAAATACATTTATTTTTAAAATAAAACTAATTTCACTACCAAGAAACAGTTCCCACCTGCTCTGACGGTGGGCAGAGCAGCGAGCACCACGTGAACCTCGTGGTGCCTCTCGCAGGCCCCGCCAGCCTCGGCGGCCGTTAATCACACAGCTGCACGTTCAGAAGGACCTGAGACCAAAGGAGGCGATACTCTCTGCGTCCCTGGCCTTTCAGGTCGGTGGCACTTCCTACCATGACGGGTTTCCTCACCACACATACGAGAAGCTCCATCCACGGCCCGCAGTGTGAGAAACACTGGCCCCCAGAACGAGGCCGGAATGCCTGAGGACAGCAGCAGAGCCCCCACCTCTCTTCTCGGCCTTCACTCCTGGGCCCCCCATCCCTGCCCGGTGCAACGTCACTCACACGTCCAGACACCTGGACAGCCTCCTCAAACGCCCCGCACCCTGGCCTTCCCCTCGTCTTGGTTCCACAAACACTTCCACTGAAGCATTTACCACTGTGGAGTGGGCAGAACTGCTCAGCGTCCGTGCCCACCCCGGGGATGAGAGCTGGTCAGGGGCAAGTACCACGTCTGAGTCACCTGTTTCTCCAGCCCCTGGTATGCACGAGGTGCCTAGGAGGTGCCTGTCAGATGAATGAAGGAATGAGTGAATGAGTTAATGCAGTAAGCAAACATGAAACTGAAAAACTGAATAAACCCCAGTCTGCCAGTCCTCCTCCTGCACTTCTATTTCTCAGCATAGCAATACTGAGGGTTTTTCAGCAATGCAATCAGACATTGTGTTCTTTTTAAAGAATGTGTAGAATTATTTCTAACCTGAAATTATCTGCTACTACAAAACTAAACCAGTGAACATTCCAAGGGCCTGGAGGTGGTTCCTCTGCCCAGGCCTGACCCCTGCCCATTCCCAGAGGAAAGCAGAAGTCTGCCAGGATAGATGGCCAGCCTGGGCCCCGCCCAGCCACTGCCACGGGGAGCTCTGATCAACATGAAATTGAAATCTGACGAACACTTGAAATCCAGCAGTTTAGAAAATGACTAAATTTACTGAACAAGCCTCTTCTGCACAGAAAAGAAGAGGAATGAGCTTCCATGAATATGCAGTTGGCTCCAGGGGACAGCGGGCCGGAACAACTGGACAGCTCTGGAGAAGTGTGCCCGAGGAAGGCAGGGCAGGTGCCTGGCCCCCGCAGGGTGCACCAGGTTCCACTGGTCACTCCCTGGCTACGGTGCCGTGTGCACATTTGGGTGGCACTGAGCACTCAGCGCTGCCCAGCGCTGGAGCACAGCCGAGACAGAGACAAGCACTGCCGCAGTCGACCTGGGGCCTCTGGGACACACAGCCAAAGTGCCCGCCCCTGCCCAGCCAGCGCTGCCGTGGCAGAGCCCACCCGCATCAAGGCAGCGGTGGGCAGCCACATGCTAATAATCAGGACAGACGACAGACGTGCCGACTGCCAGTTTCACAAACGTGGGTTTCAAGAGAGTTTTTGCCAGGGTTCTAGCACCTTCGGCGTTCCCCACCCGCGCCTCTACCCCTCGCCCCGTGTGCTCTCACGGGTGTTCGTCAGCTGAGGAACCACTAAGCTCAGTCTACAACAAGGGCCTGTGAACTAAGCACTCACTGGGCCAGGCCCTGGGCCCAGAACGGGGCATTCCCCGACAGACGGTGACTTCTTCAAGGACAGGGACCTTGTCTGGGCCCAGAGACTGGCACTAAGCCGGGCCATGGCCTGCGGCACGTGATGAGTGCAGGGCACATGTTTGCTAATCGGGCAGTCCGTGCCCGGAGCCGCCTCTCTCGGAGGAGACGTGCGTGGGGCAATGCGGGGAG